GAAGTGAGAGGAGCAAAGCAAGGTGGTTCTGAGCTGGGCTGTAGCTGTGAGCAGAACTGTAACTAAGCAGGTATAAAACAAACAAAGTCTAAGAGGAACTCAAGGAACTCAAGATAGGTAGTTATTTGCATCTCAAGAGCCAATTTCTGATAAAAAAAACAATACTTCAGGAAAAGGCTTTTTCTGTTGAAAACCAGTACAATGTGTACTTGCATTTAACTTAACGTACCCGAGTACAAGAAAATCCAGCTTTTCCAGAGTAAATGGCCACACAGCTCGTATTAAGCCATTTTTATCTTAAACTATCAAGCAAAAAGTGCATTTAAAAAGTTTTATGGAAGTTGGTTTAGAAAAGAGTTGGTTTAGAAAAGAGTTTAACTTTTAATTAATTGTAAGGAAATCATTCATCAATCCAAGCACTCACTCTTCAAATGCGCAGGGATCAGGGTACTGAGTAACAAGAGGCATTGCTCCTAAAAACCAGTATGAAGGAGAAACGATGCAATCCTGTGCAGGGAATGAAGGGGGAAAGATCAGAAAATACAGAATAGGAGAGTTCGTAAATACTCTTGAGGAGCTGGCTGAAACTCCTAAAGCTCTGTAGATGGCTAAACCATGCCACTGAAGTTCGTAGGAGGGAAGAGAACCACCAGGAACCAGAAGAGAGGAGCTCATGGGGTAATCGCCCGCTGCCTGTGTCTGCACATGGACTTGAACACTTGGGTTGAGGAGCACCCACAGGTCGTGCTCTGGGTGACGATGGGGTGCTGGGCTGGAAGTCACAGGTATGGACTAGGAAAGGCTGGAGAGAGAGGCAAGGCCAAGAGGACAACAGACGCCGTCAAAATTGACTGAGAAAAGAATCAGTTAATTCTATTTGTACTGAAAACATTTAAAATTCATCCTACCGGGGCTACTTTCCACCCTAAGTGCATTAGCAAAGACAAGGATGACACGGAATCAAATCAAGGACACACTATCCAAGCTCTGCTTTTCTTCTGAGGAGCTGAAAATAATCCTTAACTGCATGAAGGTTTCAACTCAAGATCTTGGAGATCAAATCGATGCCCTTTGGAATCAGATGATGTTACACTGATTTTACTTACGGATAACTAAAACCTGCATCACAAGCCTGTGATAGGGGAGCAGGAATAGGAAAGGGACTGAAAAATGACTCCAAGTCTTCTGCTCTAGCCCAAACAAACTTTCACAGAGCAAATGCATCTTGTTATTATGCTTCGCATTATTAGATTTTCTCTAAAGAACAGAGAGAAGAACGCCACTAAAGCCTAGAGGAAATAAATTACTGTCTACTGTCATAAGACAAGTTTAACATGCACCTGGGATCTTGAATGAAACTGTTTTCCTTCAGGAAAAAAACATTTGAGAAGCTTAGATGTTAATTCAAAAACCCTTATTTTCTATAAAAAGCACATTATCTCAAAAAGCATCCCTTTTTAAATATCCTCTGTAGATCCATTATCCAATCACTCCCTATTTTCCCCATCAGGCCCTCCTGCTACACAAACAGGGTAGCTGTGTATGCAGTCTGGGCTTGGAAAATTGTTAGGCTGTGCATAAAATTTCTATTACAGAAGAACCATATACATCTGAATCGTTAAGTTTAGAGCTCTCTTTCCAATGACTTCATAACGCATCTCCGGTTAAGAATCTAATAGCACAAAGTGCATTACAGATAATTTAACAGACACTGAGAAAGTTATGATCAGAATTCCAGAGACGATCAGCACCTTGCTGAGATACATCTGAATTATTTACATTTTCTGCTTTAAAATACTGCACTAGAATCCGAAGAACTGAGTGTAAACTGAATGCCTCATGTCCTGGTGAATACAACCAGCCCTGGAAGCAGACCTCCACCAGTCTGATGCAAAGATCCTTCACCTTGCTTCATTTTACTCCACAGACACAGTGGTTTGACAGCTGGGACCGCTTTGATTGCTGTTTGTCACAATCCTTGCTACTTATCATACTCACTAGGTTTACTTCAAGCTGCCTGTATCTATCTATCTGGTCTTAAGGTCCTTTCCAACCCTAACTATTCTATGATTCGTCTCATCTCCCAATGTCAAGCATTCCAGAAGGTGTACGGTCTCTGGGGCAAAGACCATCCTCATGTGCCATTCTGCCCCTGCCACTGGTACCTCCAGGCAAAACTGATGGAGGAACAACCATCATCTCCCTGTAAAGGAGATGGTGTGACCTCTCCTGGACATGTTTCCAAGTATCAGCATGGCTTTGAGCAACCTCTACAAGAACCTGTCTGGAAGGGCTGAAAGGTTCATACACAACGCTCACAGCTCTCTCAGCTTATCCTCCTTTTAGTAGCTCTTTAGGCAGGAAAACAGATGGCACTGATTACTGAAGTCTGTTCTGTCCCTTTTGCTCATGGAAGCCAAAAGCAACAGAGTCTCTGGGAGATGTGTGCACAATGCAATCCAGTGCAGACACCCCTTCTACTCAGGGAGCATCTTCCAGAGCTCCTAAAGCTGCTGCTGCAGGTCACTCCACAGCCACACAAATCAGCCTCCTCAGGTCAAGGTTAAGCTTCAGCAGTACTTCCCTTCAGACACCTTGACCAAAGCTTACCTGTCTGATTAGTCATATGAAACATGACTTCATTTTGCTCTGATTGAATCGAGGTATCATTACACCATCATGCTCAGAACAGCTCTAATTACAACTGAGTCAAGAGCCCATTTTCAGACTATTGTCCCATACCAGTTTAAAGGCAACTAATGAAAAAGGTTCTGGGATAGACATCTACAGAAATGTAAGGAATTATTAATTTAAGCACTGAGAAAGCAAATGATAAATCAGATGTTCACTGTTCTGTGGCAAGAAACAGTTCTAGTTTCAAAACAGTACCATAAATACCTGACATTTTCAAGTTAGAAGTTATGAAGCTGCACATTTAGAAATCTGACATCAGTTACTTTGCTATGATTATGTATTATTATAAGCACCCATCAGAAATGGATCTGTGGTACAAAGCTCAGATCAAACATAATGGAACAAACTCAGACATAGCTCAGCTCATCATCAATGTGCTTAATCCTTCACACAGTTCTCTCCAGCATTGCAGAACATCATGAAATGCTCAGTTTAAAAGTTTGGGGGGGGTTGTGGGAGCTTTGGGGTCTTTGTGGGTTTTGCAGAAGGGGACTAAAGGTGCTTTTGGGGTTTTAAAGATAAAGAACTTTTAGCTATGGATTGGAATGGAAACCCAGTTACACCAATTTTCATCAGCCATTAAAAAAAGGAAAGAAAACCCAAACCTCCCCATCCCCAATACTTATACCATTGTATCTATGAATAGTAAATGGGCGAACAAATGGCTTGACTGGCATGGCAGCAATCCACTGGGTACCATCCCCAGAGCCGACAAAGGGGGACAAAAACCTCTATCATATTTTACATCATTACTTTACCAAAGCCCCATTTGAGCATAGGGTTTCTTTTTTGTGGTTTCTCACTTGGGCCCAAACTCTAGGGGGAAGGAGCAAGCTCAGCTGAAGCACCAACGTGACTAAGCATTCCCATTTTTTAAGCAATGACACTTTCAGACCTCCTTAATAAGGGTGGTGCGGCTAAGCCGAGCTTAAGTAAACCCATCCTTTCATACGTAATGTCTACAGAGCAGGAAGGGAAAGCAGCAGAAGAGTCTACTTGAGACATGATGATGATACAGTCAGGCCAACCTCTGCCAGCAGGAACTCCAAGGTGAGGAGATGCAATTACCCGAGATGAGCAGACGGAGCCCATCTACCCCTCAAGGCAGCTGAGCACCAGCAGCTCCTTCACTGCAGGATGGGGTGGACTCAGCACACATGAAACAGCCAAAATTCACCAACACGTAAGCCTGCATGCTCACACATTGACTTTGGCAACTGCACATGGAAACCCTAAAGCCCAGCACTTTAACCCTTACGCACTGTGAGCTTCCATTTACTGATCAGCCATAACCCAACAGGGAGAACCATCCTGCACAGAGACTGCACACCCAGCTCTGTCCCTCCCCACACTATATCACTTAGGCTCTAAACTTTTTGGGAGCAAAGTCAAGAGCAAATTTCTTGCTCCAAAGTCAATGCTGCATCTCATGATGTCAAGAGCACGGGGATTGTGCCCACTGCCATCAGACCCTGCTGGCTTCACATGCAAGGAAGTTGCACAACCTTTATTCTTGCCTGCATAAACTGCAATATAAATACAAAAGAGTAATAAATAATACAGAATACACGCCTGGCCTCCGGTTTGAAAGCCAATTCCCACGTCTTTGGTGCCTGCTTCTTAGCAGTAGCATTAATAAAATACCAGCAACTCAGCTGATTTCCTGACTGAGCAAACCAAATAGTGAGAGTCTGACAAACAGTTTTTAAAGGCTTTTATCTCAATAGGTGACTTTGCCCGAATGTTCTAGATTTCATTACCTCCTTTAAGAGGAACACCCTTCCCTCCCCAGTCTCACAAAAACACTGCATCTTCAGACACACACAATTACTTGTGTCCTTTAAAGCTAATTGCAATTACATAGTTCAGCTAAATAATTAACCAGTTCCACAGTGCTGCACAAAGGGAACAAGCAGGACAGTTTCACACAGCTTGGGAATTAGAGCATCAGTGGGTTTGCACAGCAATATTTCCAAGTTAGCAAAAATCAAGCAGTCACAAAAATGCCACACTTCAGTAACACTTGCTTCATATTTCTAGACTAAAAAGCAAGCTTTACACATTTCATAAGGAAGCAGCATCTTTTTCATGGCTCCTGTTCATTTGTAAGCTATTGGTACCTAAAACAAACCCCGAGATTTCAAGGTCCCCCCTTTCTGTTTGGAAAGGATTCCATCAGAAGAGCCCATGCAGAGTCTGGCATCTCAAACCCCCGCGTGCCGCTCGGAGGAGAAGGGAACATTCAAACAGCACCACGGTTGTCAATACATGGCAGAGGAATGCAGCACAGACAAAATCTTACTTACTTTGGAGGCCCACGGTTGCAGGCAGTTGGCGTAACATCGAACAAGAAAAGCCATTTCTTAGGCTGGGGAGGGGGAAAAAGTTTCTTTCCTCAAATAAAAGCCACGGAAGGAAAATATTGAGCAAAATCCCTTCTGGATCCTCTGTAACAATCATAAACCAAAGCAGCAAACATACATGTATGCAACTTCTCAGGCTTGAATTTCACACTGAATTCGATTACAGCTTCCACTATAGCTGAGGAGTTTTCAGTATCGCAGTGAGTTAGCAGCAGCAGCAAGCCCTATGAAAATGTTCCAGTTATAACAAGCACAGAAATTGAAATCAAAATGTTTCCTGGCTTTTCAAATACAAATAGCCATCCGTTCCCCCAGGCAAGAGGCATGCACCCGAAAAGTGCTGCTAAAATGGAATTAATGCTGAAATGGATTAGAACTGCAGGTTAAAGCAACAATGCATTGAAAGGTGAGATATGAATTCTTCAAATTCCCTTTTTTCTCTTCACTCAAATGCATTGACAAGTGGCTTATCTTCGGGTCCACTTTTCGGGAACTTCACATTCATATTGTAGCTGAAATCCTGCACGGGTTCTTCAGCATCTCAGGCGATCCAGGAATCCCACAGCCTGGGTATTAAAGTTTCTTCTTTACACTCTTGTCCATCATAAGTGCAAAAAATCAGTTAGTGTCCAGATTGTAGCTCCAATATTTATGCTCTAACAGGTTTGCTCTGTGGAATGTATTAAAGCCTCTGCAATACAAACCCTTTTCTCTTTTGCTCCCCCCCCCCTTTCCTCCTCTTGTTTTAATGCAGTTTACAACTCTGCAGTGTTGCTCAGTATTCTAATGCATCAGTCGGACCCCACGGTTAATCCACGCCTAGCTTTTCCAATTAAAACATCTCTGTAACGCACAACAAAACAGTACATCCATGGCTACAGCAAGCCTGACTGCTGGAGTCCTAATTCCTACTATCTTTGCTTGCTTCTCAGCAGCTCCCTCAGGAGAAGCTCCCATCGATTGGATGCTCCGCAGCAAGATGAAATATCTAATAAGGAGGAAAGAGAGTGGGAGGGGAACGGAGCTAAAAGGATGACATCACCTGTATAGAAAGCCTTTAGAAACTGCATTAGATCAATTGGCTACTGGAGCTGCAGATGCAGCCAACAGAGCATCTTTATTGACCTGATATAAACACACAGATCGGTACAGCAACTGCTCAGCAAACCCCCCTGCATTGCATTTTATATCCTTTTATGATCTATTCATGCATATGTTGGAACTCTCAATACGTTTCCTTCTCAAAATCATTTTTTAAATGAACCACATGCATCTATTAACACTTTCCACAGTATTTATGTGGATTATTCCTCATCCCTGCCTCCAGATTTAGAAATAAGTACAATAAGTACCTGCAGCCGTTCGCATGCATGCACATACAGATACACCCAGCATCAGCTCACAACAAAACAATTCCTGCTTTCATGTATGTATGTCATACCACAGGCTCAAGGTTTTTATCCCATCCTATATACTCACAAGGAGATTTCTGTCTGGAATGAGAACTAAATTTCTTATTGGAAGGTGACATTTATAATTCTCAGTATTTTAATGGTTTTGAAGCCACGTTAAAAAGTTTCAGTGGGTGGGTTGGGGTTTTTTTTCCCCTCAATTAAGACCAATTCTAACCCAAACCGCCTTAATTCTGCTGTAGTCAGTTGAGATTGATCATTTCTCCTTGCTGCTAAAAGCTGCAATATTTGCAAGCAGCTCCGTGCTTGGAAGGCAGCCCAGCCTGCTGGAGAGCTGCTCCCAGGAAGCACCTATGAGATCCCACACCTTGGAGCTGGGGCTGCCGCCGTGCTTTCCATTCCTAGAAGGCAAATGACTTCTGCTACTGTGCAAGGAGGGAGGAAAGCATGGAAGAGGGAGGGGACCTGGGCTGCTGGCTCTGTGAAAGCCATTATCTAGGACTCTGGATCATTTACTTCAGCTACAAGAAGGGCACTCACTGCTTCTCTCTTCCTTTCTTTGGAAAGCATCTTCATCACCATATATCTCATTATTCCCGGTTTGCATCAGACTTGAGGGTGATTCTCCAAGACAAAACTATGACTGATAGCCACAACCTCCTGTACAGAAGAAAAGCTTCCAAAGTGACCCAGGGGCTACGAGAGCCAAAAATCCCTTTTACCGATTACTGTGCCAAGGGACACATGGACGAAGGTTCTCACATTTGTGATGCCAAGTTATACCAAGAGGACCCCCCCACCCCACCTCAAACCAACAGCTCCCTTCAGCAGTCATCCAGAAGCTGAATTCTTCCCAGCAGATAAGCCAAGTGATGCTGGGACTTGCACCTTAACTAAGAAAACAGCCTCCCCCTTCCTAAAACTGTCTAAAAGAAAACAACAACTGGTATTAAATGTCTTAATTTACCTAACCTCTATCAGATAATGAAAATAGTAACACATGCATTGTAAATATTACTGGGTTTACTTTGTATTTAAAGGAATATTTGAACTGCATTCCTCCATTTGCAAAATGTACAAACGCAAAGTCTATTTTATTAAAAGCTAATTACTTACTTAATTAATTAAAAGTAATTACTTCAGATCTCCAAAATGCACCACAGCAGCTATACAAATAGCTGTTTCTTTTCCTGTTCCTCCAATACTGAACAATAGGCTAGACACGTCAGCTTCACCTTGCAGTGACTGTACTGCATCCCTTCTCATCATTCACAACTGCATTCAGAAGCATCTTCAACATCGAACTGATCAACCTTCAGCAGCAATGAGCACTCAAGTACTTTCAGGCAGCGTTACCTGTGTTACAGTCATCACAACTGATAGCAAAGAGAAGAGAAATCCCACCCAGCTAAAGGAAACCTCTCCCTGCCTGCACGCCCACCGATAGCACACCAACTCCATCCCTGGCTAACCGAGCAGACATCCGCCTCCCACCCGCGACTTAAAACCCGCCGCAGCGGGCACGGGCTCCATCCCACTGGGGATCCTGGCAGGGACGCTGGGATTTCACAACGACGGTAAACACGGGCTCAATAATGGGAACAAAATCCCATTTCCTCCCAGTTTTGCCTTTAAGTGGAGATGACATCATCGCTCCGGCCGTCCTGCCAATGAGCAGCAACGGCAGTACCGCGGGTCCCGGGGGGCTGCGGCCGCCTCTGCCCCAGCCCTGAGCACAGGGAAAACCTGACCCAGTTCCACACCCGGCTTCTGGGGCATCCCCCCCACACACACACTCATTGCCGCTCCCTTTAGGGCTTGGGTTTTTAACACACGCATGGCTGCAGCCCCAGCTCCCTGCAGCACACGCTGTGAGTTGTTATACATCAGCTGGTTTTATACATCTCAAAACTGGAGCAACTGGGAGATGGAAGGAAAAAATAATCTAACACAAAGGCTGCTCCACAGCAATCACAATACTTGGGAAGAACTGCAGGATCGGCGGGAATTGCAGACAGTAAATCACCAGTCTTATTTCTAAGCCAGATTCCAAGTTTTCACAGCATCTTAAGGAAAAACCCCTACGGTCCACAGCCTGTGAATTAAAGGTGGTCTTTGTTTCTTCACAACAATTTCTTTCCATGCTTGAAATACCACTCCATACATCTCTACACATCATTCCCTTTATCCTCCCCTACCGCTATGTGAATCCTGCCGACTGTTGAATAAATCTGCATGTTCTAATCGCCTAACAAGAGCAAGTCACTGAAAAATGGGATGTTTTTAGAAGGGTAGAAAGGCCTTTCATAATTTAAACGCACGTTCAGCAGGATCAGAGCCTCATTTAAGGACACCACAAAGTGAAGTTGTGCAAAAGCAGAGCCCTCGCGGCTGACAGCGAAGGACCTGTCAAGCAGCACGACTTCTGATCCATCAGGGAGAGAAAAGCCCATTGTGCCGTGCCGGCGGGAGGACAGCGCCGAGCTCAAAGCCATCGCAGCTGAAAAGGCAGAAGCCACCGGCGAGCCGAGGGGCCTGGGTCAGGGATGTCTGTCCCCCTGTCCCCTGTGACCACTGGCATGCTGTCCCCTGCTGCTGCTGCAGCACCCAGCTATGAGCTGGTACCTTCACTTCTTCATACCCCCCATTTAGAGCACAGCAGCGAAGGTAGCATCCTGCCTCCGAGCGCACAATGAGGGCTGGGGAAGGAGCCCAGCTGCGTGGAAAGCAATCTGTCACTGCACACACACGGGCAAAGATGGTCCAGGCTAAAATAATTCATTCTAATACAGTTTTGGGAGTGGGAACTGCCAGTGTAATGCAGAAATATTTCAGCATTAAGGGCACCTGCATCGAGAGGTTATTTCAATGTATGTGAGTGCTTGAAGTGTTTTGGGAAAGGCGGGTGGATGGAGGCAGAGCCAGCTGCAGTGTGAGCTGGATGCAGCCCTGGCTATGCTGGCACAGCTCATTCCGTGTCACTGGCACGCTCCTCCATTTGACTTCAGCATCATAACGAATCACTGCACTTTGACTGCAGGGTTTGCCCCTCGTTAGGGCTCCTCGGGAATCCCTGTTGAAAGGGGAAAAGAAAAACAAAAGGAAAACATTCCAACTCTCCACCCTGTTCCGGACCCTTTTGGGAAGCAGAGGCAGGGAAAGCGGCGCCTGTTCCCCCTTCAGGGTGACATTCCATGGTGTGACCGCATCCTTACAAACATGCCTTTCCACGGTAGCACTTACTAACAGGCTGGAGAAAAATCCTACTCAAAGATCTGTAAGGCTCACAAGTAGTAGGAAAACACACTACATCCTAAGGGAGGGAGCGAGGGAGAGCGGGAGGGAGCGGGAGAGGGAGGGCAGAGACTGTCATCATCCCCGAAGTGATGTAAGCTTCTAAATATAGCACCAGCAATACAGAAGGAACAATAAAAAAGGCACCATGGATTCAATTTCTCCACCGCTTTCGCACTACCCCAACCCTCTTTTCTCAGCCGCTGTGTTAAGCAGGGAAAGGTCACCTCCTATTTGCAGCGCTCCAGATTTATGTGGTTTTTATAATACTTCCTTAAATATGTTTACAAATTGCAGCTCTCTCCTGCAGATCTGCTGGTGCACACTCGCTCTGCAGAGCAGGGCAGCAGCATGATCAGCATGGCAAACAGGGACCACGCCAACACGGGGGGAGAAAGGGAAGCCCCCTCTGCCACAGACTCAAACAAGAAGTTCATGTCTACGGTTTGAAGTGAGATGAATCATTTCACGCTCCTCCCTTCCTTCCTGACATCTCGTTCCGGCGAGGGGTGGGGATGTTTAGGAAGGTACACAACCCGAAATCCTTGGTGATGGGCAGGAGGGGATGCCAAACCCAGCAGGGTCGGTTTGTGGCATGGAACCCACCCAGAGGTACCGAAAGGATGATAGGGCTCTAATAGCCCACAGCACACTCTCCCAAACACACTCAATTCTGCCCACAGAACGTTACCTCCATCTAGTCTCAAAACTGAAGTTCCAGCCCAAGCCTAACACTGGCCTGGCCTTAATTTCATCAGCTGCCACCTACACGGTGACCTGTTGGAGCTTCACACTGGGAAACTGCAAAGCCCACCAACGTATCTGTTCATTTCCATGCCTCAAAACTCAGTATGAAAGCCCAAACTAAATACGCTTCTTCCCTCATGTATAAAACCTGTGTCTCGAGTTAGAATGAGCAGATGAAGACTACTTAATGTGGGAGACCATTAAAGTAGAAGGTGTTCAACCCCATGCGAGGGGGTTGGAACTGGATGACCCTTAAGGTCCCTTCCAACCCAAACCAGTCTGGGACTCAACTTAGAACATACGGTACCAGCACACCTCTCAAGCAAAAAGTCTGTGATTAAATGACCTTGAGAATAACATTAACACCACAGATGAGGTTAAAAATCATTAAAATGCCACTTCCAATATTTCTTCTGTCATTTTCCTCAAGGGCTAACACCAAACTGGAAGCCTGAAAGCAGGAAAGGGGGAGGGATCTGACTCCTGCCACATATCTCTCTAAGCAAGGGTGGTTTTGAGCAGTGAACTCTCATTTATCAGTGGTCAGGACATGCAGCCTGAAGAGCATATGTGACACAAGCATCATCTCAGGCACGACAGCTCATTAACACTTTTACTCCAGGAACAGATCCACGTCTGGAGGAACCACACTGCTTTTCTATGGGT